GTATATATTAATTCATCTGATTTGTGGGTCAAATTAAATTTATTTTACCTTTTTAATTAAAAAACTTTTAATTACAGTTGACATTCAATATTATATTAGTTTCAGGTCTACAGCATAGTGATTAAACATCCATATAACTACTGAAGTGATGCCCCTGCCCCAATTAGTCCTGCATTTACATGACATCATGTATAGTTATTATGCTATTATTGACTCTATTCCCTAAGCTATACTTTACATCCCTGTGACTACCTTATCAATGCCAATTTATACTTCTTAATCCCTTTATGGGTCAATTTAAGTTTAAAAATTGATATTGTATGTGAACTGGAGCTTTCACATTTATGATTTTGAGGTTTTCTATTACCAAAGCAATATACAGATTTAATGCAATCCCCAGCAAAATCCCAATGACATTTCTGAAAGAAATAGAACAAAAAATCATCAGATTTGTATGGAATCACAAAAGACCCCGAATAGCCAAAGCAATCCTGAGATAAAAGCACAAGGCCGGAGGTGTCACACTGCCTGACTTTAAATTATACTACAAAGTGACAATAATAAAAACAGCATGGTATCGGTAGAAAAACAGATACACAGACTAATGGAATGGAATTGAGAGCCCAGAAATAAATGTACATATATATGTACAAATAATTTTTGACTAAGAAGCCAAAAATATATCATGAAGAAAAGAAAGCCTCTTCAATAAATGGTGCTGGGAAAATTGAAAAAGCACATGCAAAAGAATGAAACTAGACTGCTGTCTGTAATCATACACCAAAATTAACTCAAAAAGGATCAAAGACTTAAATATAAGATCTGCCCAAAAAAATTACATAGAAGAAAACATAAGTAGTAAACTTGTGGGCCTTGGATTTAGAGATTTTACGAATTTGATCTCAAAGGCAACAGAAGAAAAAGCAAAAATGAATGAATGGGATATTAAACTAAAAAGCTTCTGCACAACAAAAGAAATCAATAAAACAAAGAGGCAACCAATTGAATAGGAGAAGACATTTGCAAACAACACCTCCAATAAGGGCCTAATATCAAAAATATATAAAGAACTGATACAACTCAACAACAAAAAACCCCAAAACATTCCAATTAAAAAATGGCCAGAGGACCTGAACAAACACTTCTCCCAAGAAGACATACAAATGGCCGACAGACATATGAAAAGATGCTCAAATTCACTAGCTATTAGGAAAATGCAAATCAAAATCATAATGAGAAACCAACCTGTTAGAATGGCTATCATCAACAAGACAAGTGTTGGAGAGGATGTGGAGAAAAAGAACCCTTATACACTGCTGGTAGGGATGTAAACTGGTACAGCCACTATGGAAAATAGGATGGAGGTTTCTCAAAAAATTAAGAATAGAATTAACATATGACCCAGCGATACCCCTTCTAGATATCTACCCCCCAAATTTGAATCATTTATTCATAAAGATATATGCACCCAATGTACATTGCAGCATTATTCACGGTGGCCAAGACATGGAAACAACCAAAGTGCCCTTTTGATAGATGATTAGATAAAGAAAATGTGGTACATATATACAGTGGAATATTAATCAGCCATAAGAAAAGATGAAATACTGCCATTGGCAACAACACGTATGGATCTTGAGATTATTATACTAAGCATAACAGAAAAAGTTGAGAAACATATGATTTCACTTATATGTGTGATATAAAATTGAAAGAAACAAAGAAGCAAAAACTCATG